TACGACGAAAATTTTTAATATTGTTTATTCAAATTATATATTAGATTTGAATTTATTTAAGTAAGTTGATAGTTTAGAACATATGTTCCACATGTCATAAAATTTGAGATTCCTAATATCATTTTTAGGCATAAGAAATACGTGTTCTTCACAATACTAATATTCGGATTAGATATAATACCAAATTTCAGTTTTAGTGATCTGCTTACATCTTACGTCCGATTCCAGTGATAGGTTATGCCTAAATCTCAGATTTAATCTCTAATTTAGAGATTAATTTTTTTCCGTGTAGTTTGAATTTATCTGCATTTAATACAAATTGTTTTTAATATACAAATTCAATATTATACCAAAATCATTCCGGATTAAGTCTTTGAATTGGATTGAATATGGATTGTTTTCAATTGTCTGTGGATTGTATATATTTACAAATTCTTATAATAATAAGACTTATTTTCGGACTGGGGTGTTTTGATCGGATATTATTCGGATTGACGTTGACTATTACCGGATTCTTTGCAAACAGATTTTGGATTGTTTCATACTTGTTTCGGATTAAATCTTTTAACTGGATTAAATTCGGATTATTGCGGACTGATTTCGTATTCTTTACATATTGATTTCGGATTATTTCGTATTTATTTTAGATGAGTTTTTTGACGGACATAATTTCGGATTGTTGCGTAATGATTACGGACTTAATTCATAGACATTTAAGATTACTCCAGACATATTTAGGATTCACAATTTCACTCGGATTAATGTTAGATTAACGCGGATCAATTTCGTACAATTATCGGACTAATCTACACTAATATACCTGGATTTAATCCGGATTAGTCCGAAATTTTTAGCAGGGATATAATGTGATTTGGGTGGCCGATTATTACCGGATTTTTAGCACACATATTTCGGATTGTTTCGTATTTGTTTCGGATTATGCCTTTTAATTGGATTAAATTCGGATTGTTGCAGACAATTTTCGCCCAGATAGCAAAGGTATCCAGTCCGCCCGGCACGCTTCGGCCGCCACACCGCGAGTAAGTGGTGACGTTGCGATTTAAGTAGCCTTTGCTGGCGCACTTGCTGTAAGTTAAACGGGCTAGCGATGGGCTGGAGTATTGTCTTATACATTATCTAGCAATTTATTTAACAATTGCCAATTAAAGGCAATTTTTAAATAAATATTTCTCCTATTTAAATAAATCAATTGAATATTTTTACTAGCAGTTTTGAAAAAAATAACGTAATTTTATAAAAAATTTAATTTGAAGGTTAAACTTTTAAATATCTTGAAACACGTTATATCCGATTTTGATAAAATTGATGTCAAAAAAAACATACATATTCTATTTTTATTCCTGTGAAAATAATCTTCGACATTTCAGTGGATCTTGAGAAATTAATTAAAATCCACAATCGGACCTTTTTCGTACAATTTTTGGACTAATCCGTACTAATCTGTCCGTATTTAATTAGTCCGAAATTAGTTCCGGAATTAGTCCGAAATTTTTACCAGGGTAGTGAATAACAATAATAAGTTAATTAATAATTTAATAATAAATAATATTTTTTTTAATTATAAAAAAGTTTTTGAGGGATAAAATTAATTTCTCCACTTGAGAACGCCAAGGTCACCACCAGGTGGTAGAAGAAATTCCAATAAAGAACTGAAATGACATCTAACGGTGAACTTGGCGTTCGCAGGTGGAGAGTAGCGTCTCCATATTGAATCTCAATTTGTTCATAACTTTATAATTATTTACGATCAGAATCTAGAGAGTTTGACAATTCGTATAAATGGATTTTAATTTTTAATTTCCTTTTCTTTTCGATATTTTTATCCTCTCCAATTTTTTCAGAACCTTGGAATTAATTTTTTTGGTAAATAAATTGATAGGTATTTAAAATCTCGTCTTAAGAAATTAAGTAGTGGCTTTTTTTAATGAAATAAGTAACTTTTTCATAAAAATAGTAGCTAAATAGTTGTATGTGGTGAAAGAAGAGTAAAAAATATTTGTAATAATTACTTTCTCAGTTTTGTAATTATTATTATTATTATTATTCTTATTATGTTGAAAAAATCAATTTCGAATGTAAAACAAAAAAAAATCGAATCTAAATACAAATTGAATAATAAAAATAGATAAAAGTTCCCTCCTAAAATAATTGATTTTCTTTTACATTGAAAATCTTTAAAGTGAATGGGTTCTGAACTTTCAGCATCAGATTCTTAATCGCAACCGATGTCGACAACGACGACAACGAAACGATGACTCTCACTTTCCATTTTATCAGCGATTCCTTTACATATTTTAGTTTTACACTTTCTCTACCTATATAAATTTTTATATACATATCTATATCAGGAAAAATTTTTCACCGTACCCTAATATTTTACAAACAATAAAAAAAATACAATTCGCAAATTTTGAGTAAAAATAATTTCGAAACCACGTGTCGGAATATTATATTTAAAAAAATTATAAGAAAATTGTTAAAAATTATTATTAAAAATATTTTTAAAAATTTTTTAATTTAAAAAATTTTTTTTCTGATATTTTTAAGAAAGCGTAAGTAACGTACGAGAAATAAAAATTTTAAAAACAAATCGAATTCAAATCACATTCTTTGCTATAATGTCGTGTTGTTTTTTAAATGAGGTAAAAATTCCAAACGATATTTCTTTTTCTTATTCTGAATTGTGTACTTTTAGATAATAATTTCTAATCTTAACTAGAAATATTTTGTAAAACATTGATAAAATGCAAAAGAAGAAAAAAAAATTGTTTCAAGTAAATAAATAAGATTAATAAAATAGTAAAGAAAAAAATGAAATAAAAATAATAATTTTTTATAGGAATTAAATAAAACAATTTTATTATTAAAAATGAAAAAAATGTTTTCAAATTCTAGTTAAATAATCTTTAAAAATATTATGCAATGGATGTTATACATGTTTTGGAATAAATTATACTTTTCGTTGCAAAACAGTTGCTAGCAAACTTTATCTTTTTAAAGTCGACAATAGAATTATTTATCACTTATAAGAAAATGCAGATGAATAAAAAAAATGTATTTGCAAAAAGAAACATCGTTTGAATTTTCATTTTGAAAGAATATTTTTTTCAACGAATTTTTCAATTAAATTTTTAATTAATTTTTAATTAATTTTTTAATTAACTATCAATAACTATTATAATTATTATTATAACTGTTAATAATAATTATTGTAACTATTAATAACTATTTATAACTATTAATAATTTATTTTGCCTATTTATTAGTAAATAAATAAATAATAATAAATAAATGTAAATTAGCGAAAAATAAGAAAGGTACCTAAGAAGCAAAAAATTTTAGGTTATGTTTGTAATTTTTGGAGTAAAAATACAAGAAAAGAAACAAATGACTACTATTATAAATTATTGATGTTTAAGTCTTCATTACAACAAAAATATCCTAAAAACTATTTTCAAATTTGCATATAATTAAAAACAAACTTTTAATAAAAGTAAATCTAACTCAAACATAACCTAAAATTCTTCTGCTTCTTATCTACCTTTCTTGGGAGCGCGTCACAAATAATGAATAAAATAAATTAAAAATGAATAAAGTAAATAAATAAACATAAAAAAGAACAAAATAAATGAATGAATAAATAAGTAATTAAAATAAATAAATAAAAAATGAATAAAGTAAATAAATAAACAAAAAAAGAACAAAATAAATGAATGATTAAATAAATAAATGTTAAAAATAAATTAGATTAAAAAAAATTGTTGTTAATTTTGTTTACTAAATTTTTGAGACCGGCTACTAAAAAATAGTTTGGATTCTGATTGATTGACACGCTCGGTAGTAACTATTAAAGAACTTATGGGAGATAACAAGGATCAGGGGTCGAAACTGAGTTGATAATGACGCTCTACCATCGTTAACAACTCAGTCTTTATACTCACATTGTGGTAGTACAAGCCATTAGAATTTTTTTCCTCACTATTTTTCAAAACACGGTAAGCGGTTCAGTATTTGAATGACACCTTTATACAACAATAAACAATTTAGTCTTCTAATCGAAATAAGAGAAAATTCTAATCCAATTTTAATAAAATTACTTTTCTCAGTAACAAGTCAATAATTTTTGTCTTTTGTAATTTTTTCTTATTTTATTGTAATTACTACTATTTTTATTGTTATTTTTTATATTTTTATTATTGTTAATTATTACCTTTTTATATTTCCTTTATTTATTTATTGTTAATTGTAACCATTTTATATTTTTATTATTGTTATTTATAACTTTTAAAAAAATATTTTTATTATTGTTTTTGCTACTTATCATTTATATTTTCATTATTTACAATTATTTATAATTAGTTTTTTAATTCTTATTTTCTATTATAATAATTTATTTATGATTTTTGCAATAGGTATAAACAATTTATGATAATTTAAAAAATAATTTATGATTTTCTAAAAATTAAATAAGTAAATTATTATTCATTTACTATGTAAATTATTTTGAAAGAAATAATCAATTGTCGGGTTTTTAATTAAATAAATAAATTAGTTGATTGATTCAAAAAACAAAAATTAAAGAAAAATTACTTCATGTGCACTAAAAAGTTTCTTTAATGAACAATTTTCATTTATTTACATGAATTAAAATTTTATTAATTTAAAGAATAAATAATAGTATTAGAAAAAGCATTTTAAAAAAATAAATTTCTACCATTCGGAAATTTATCAACATTGCTATAAATTAATTAATGCAAATAAATAATATATATATATATATATATATATATATATATATATATAATATAATAATAATATTAGTAATAAAAATAGTAATAATAATAATAATAATAATAAGATTAATAATAATATTATTATTATAATTATAATAAAAATTTTAATAATAATAATAATAATAATAATAATAATAATTGTTAAAGTATAAAATTTAAAAATAAAATTACGATAATGCAATGAATAATAATTAGAAGATAAGTATTTCTTAAAAGTGTTTCCAGGAAAAGGAAACTTTTTTATTTCATTAAATGTTAAAGAATTTTTATTTGATTATTTATAAAAAAAAGAAAAAAAATGTATTGTCAACTTATGTATATGAGTGTCACTATAGCTGTACCACTTATCTCATTTCCTAACCAGCTGGTTCAATATATTCAAGCTTCATTGGCTCGAAACCTATTATAATAAAAACTGAAGCTTTCTTTTTACCGCGTTATAAAATTAAAACCAAAAAATAAAATAGAACATCAAATTCACATGGCGATTGTTTTAAAATTGAACTGTGTGGTGAAAGCTTTTCCAAGTTACATTTAAGCAGTGAATTTAAAAAAAGTATATCTACAAAAAAAAGTAAACAACAAAACAAAATTGATGGCTAATAAAATGACAATAAAAATAATATACTGTTTAATTAAATGAAAAACTCCCAGGACATTATTATTGTTGAAAAAGTATGGAATGTTGTTCTAATCATGACAAATTAAAAATGTCAATGTGAGTCAATCATTTCATTTTTTAAAAATATTTTTCCAAATTAATATTAATGTTAATTAATTGAAAATAATTATTTATTTATTTTCAATTATTTATAATTAATAAATTAAATAATAATAACAATAAATCATTATTAATCATTATTATTTTTCCATTGAAACTAAGATTTTCAAAATTTCTAATTCAAACCTTTTGAAATTCAATAACGTATAATAATTAATAATAATTAAAGGTGACCGAGTGATAAAATCATTATTATTAATAACTTTTCCAAAATTTAATTATTAAGAAATACTTTAACTAAAATTAATTTTTAAATCAATTTTTATAAGAAAATTCTACGAGAATTCAATTTTTATTCAATTTTTATAAGACAAGTCTACGAGAATTCAATTATTTTAATACAAAAATAAATAATTTATTGAATAATTGAATTTTCATAAAGAATTTTATTAACAAATTTTTTAAAAATTGAATTCTTTCGACAAATTTTAATAACAAGAATAATTACATTTTTTAAGCATAATTACATTTTTCGAGGAATTCGATTAAAATTGTATTAAACATAATTGAAATTCTGCAATGAGTTTTATTATTAATAAAAATAATTGAATTGTTGCGAAGAATTTTATAAAAAAGTTTTAAAATAATTAATTTTTTTCGAAAAAAATTAGGCAAATTCTATTTTTAATAATTAAAATCCTGTGAAATTTTCGTAATAATAGAAAATAATTGAATATGATGAATAATATTATTTATAAAAATAATTGAATTTTCCAATAAATTTGATTAAAATTCCTGAAAATAATTGACTTTTGTCGAAGAATGTTACTATTCATTTATAAAGATAATTGTGAAATGTTGACATTTTTTAAATATTTTTTGAAAATAATTCAATTTCTGCGAAGAATTTTATTAATTTTGAAAATAATTGAATTCTTGTGATGAATATTGTTATTTATGAAAATAATTGAATTTTGCAATGAATTTTAAAGAAATTTCTGAATATAATTGAATTTTGAGGAAGAATTTTGCTATTTATAAAGATAATTAAAATGTTAAGGAGAATTTTCTTTTTAATTTTTGAAAATAATTAAAATAAAAATTTTTCAAAAATTACTTTATTAAATAATTTATAATTAATAACTTTATAGCAGTTCTTTAATAAAATTAAGTTATTTAAAATCAATTATTGTCAGAAATAGAAAAAGTTTATGGTATTTTTTACAATTCGTAGTACTTTCATAGTTTATAAGGCAAACAAAAAGACACAAAAATTCCGAATTTTCTTATAAATTCTAAACATTTAATTTTTTTCAGTACTTTTAATAAAAATCCCTGACTTTTCCCTGTTTTCCCTGACCTGCGGCAACCACCTTATAATTAATAAAATAATTCCTAATTAATTCAGTAGGGACTAATTGCTTAGTAATAATTAAGTAGTAACTAAATAATTTATAATTAATTCAGTAGTAATTAATTATATCGTAACTAATTGAGTAGTGTTTAATTTAATTAAGTAGTAATTCATTAAATAGTAGGGTATAGGGTGAGGCATTACTATTATCTTGTTTGGATTTTTGAGTCTAAAAAATGTATTTAAAAAAAAATAATAAAATGAGTAGGACCGTTTGAAAACTTAACTTCTTAACTACCATTTTGCCATGTATTATTTTGATGTAACTCGATTCTGTTCCGAACTACAGCGATTTTACGAAACCCATTTTTTTATGTCGAAAAAAACGAGGGACGAAACTATTCCAGCAGCTATTAATTTATTTGAAACATAACGGGACATACCCTTTCGTACATTACGTACTCCTAATTCTAATAGTTACATTTGTAACATATAAAAACAAATACAATATGAAGGTTGGCGCATCAAAAGTCTAAGTTTGGTATAGATGTAAACACCGTTGTAGTGAATCTTTTAGTGTAATAATGAAAATGAAGTAATATAATAAGATACTTTTGTTTCTCCACTGAGTCCATTAGAAAATTAGTTATTGTAGTGAATATTACATTTTAATAGAAGAGTATCAATATAATAATATTAAATGATAAATTTGTTTCTCTGTCGAAATTAATTTTTAAACAATTAGTAAAATTAATGATATAATACTAAAAAAAAAAAAAATTAATTTGTTAATTGGAGGAGTTTTTCTCTTACAATTTCTTACCATTCTAACCTAAAAACAAGCACACAAAAAAATACACTGTTAATAAAAATACACTCCTATGATAGATGGCGCCAGAAGCTCAAATGTGGCGTACACATGACAAGTATACAGTGTAAAAGGGACTTCAATCGGATGAATAGTTTTCTCTCCATGGAGAGAAAAAACAAGGCTTTTCCCCGTGACTTTAAATTCATGCCTTTTTCCCTAGTAGAAATTTGTCCTAGTTATTATAACGGAACTGTCCAGTCGCGCTTGAAATTGTCTAGTTACTTTACAAGCCAACTCGCTAATAACTGGAATGGAGTGTCACGCTTTTTTCATCAAGTTATTATCTAGCCCAACTTTATAAATTCTGGTCAACGGTTCTGTAGAAAAACTGGACAAATTAATTCTTTTAAAATACTAAAAAATTTGTTTAATATTAAGATTTACTGTAGTTAACACATTTATTTCATGCAATTAATATAAAATTTCTATTTAGCACCAAAGAAATTAAAGAAAAAATATTTTTGGAAAATTTCTGTATCCATTATAATATATACATAATAAATGGAATAGAATAAAAAATTATATAATATTTTATAATTTTTAATTAATTAGTTGAATTATTATATTAAAAAAAATGTGAATAGTAAATTATTACTTGTAATTTTCTACATTACTTTTTGATTTTTAATTGAATTAAAAAAAAATTCTTAATTCGAATATCCTAAATATTTACTGTTTTCAAACAACTTTCATTTTTTTAATGCACTATTATTAACAATAACACTAAAACAAATATTTTTTATTAGTATAAACAATTATAATCTATATAAACCTTAAAACGATAACGCAATTTCACCGAAAAAATCTTGGGGGGTAACGGGGAGCGAACCCAGGTCCCGCTGGACTAAAGTCGCACCGCTTAACGCACTTGGCCGTTCAACGCAATGGATACTGAGAATTAATAACCACTGCACATATGTTTCAGTTCAGTGCCGTAACTAGATATTTTAAGCATTGGTATATACTTTTAATATTTTCTATGTAATAGTACATTTTATATGATTTTTTACTTATTATAACTTTTTAGTAATTTAATTTGCAACGTTAACAATTAATAAATAAATTGATTACTGTAATTAAATTTTTAATTATTTTTATTAATTTATTATAAATTATTATAAATATTTATTAATGAGGGTAAACTCTGTGAAGAGATACCAGGATGCACTCCCTCTGCGGAAACTTCCTGCTATCTTGGAGAGACACATCGACCTCCACGTCCGAACATACATGTTCACGTGCCCTTGGATATCATAGACGTCGCATCAATGCTCCGGCAATGCTATAACGTTTATGTAACTAACGGAGGCGGTTCAGGGCCCATCCTGGCCAGATGGTAGTACCCTGTTAAGGCCCGATTGTCCCTCGACACGGGACAAAGAAATAAAAAAAATGAATGAAATGGACAAAATTTTAAATGAAATACTCCAAGTGGGTACCTCGAAAGAGGGTAATCCCACCACCGATTCTGATCGGGTGCAAGCCCCGATAGTCGGTGGAGATGGCTCCAAGGATTTTGGAGGGAGCCAAATAGATAGCCAGCTGACATGCTACGAATCAAATGTCGCAAATCAGTTCCTGGCTATTCCCGGGATTTTTAAGAGCGTGCACCAGGCATTCAAGAGCCAAAAGAACGTCAGTCGTGACATCCAGGATGGCGTGGCGGTTTTGGAGAGTGCGTTCTTAAAAATTTGTAAGAATTTACGTTTTATCCCCGAGCCGTTCAAAAAACAGGAGCCGCAACATCCAACTGTGGAAACTCCACGGCGGACGAAGAGTGTTATTGCAAGCCGGGATAGCGCGGCTGTAGGCACAAATAAGACGAAAAAGGTTAGTAAGCGCCCTAGGGAAGGAGTAAGCCCAGATGTGAGTCCACATCAAGCGACTCAAAGTGAAAAGAGGATTAAGCGAAAGGATGCTCTACAGCTTAATCCTGAGTCACTAGTTGAAGCAAAAGAGGCGTCCTCAAGTAGTCCTAGTAAGACGTATGCCGAGACCGTCTTGAAAGACGGAGCGGACAATAAGGGCGGCTTTAAGGTTGTTGGAAAGAGAAGGGAACGGGCTACAAGAAAAAAGCCCCCAGGCGAGAAAACAGAGCTCTCAAAACACCCTTTGAAGCTTAAAACCACGGAAGCGGTAAAAATCACGGCAAGAGACCCAAAATCTTATGAGGGTATCTTGCCGCTGATAAAATCAAAGGTTAAACCTGAAGATACAGGTACCGTGATCCAGAAAATCAGGAGAACTTTTAAACAGGAGGTTCTCCTGATAGTGAAAAAGGGTGGAGAGACCTTAAAATTTGCGGACAGTCTGTCCTCGGCCCCGCATGGCGTGGCTGAGGTCATACCTCTAGTAAATAAAAGGTCTCTAGAAATCAAAGACCTGGATGAAGCCACTACAGAAAGTGAGGTGACTTCAGCATTGAAAGAAAAGCTGGGCAAATCCGACCTGACTATGGAGTGCAAATTATTCCCGCGCTACAGAGGAACTAAGGTTGCTCTAATCCGCTTGGCAGAAACAGAAAGTGACATTCTGCTTAAACTTGGTCGAATCAAAATCGGCTGGATAAATGCTCCAATTCGCGAGCATGTTGAAGTAGCTAGGTGCCAAAAGTGCCTAGGTTACGGACACAGAACCCTATCCTGCAAAGGCCCCGACAGAAGTGAAAACTGTCGGAAATGCGGCGGAGAGGGACACCTCGCGAAGAGCTGTAACGTTAAGCCGAAGTGCCTTACTTGTTTAGACCTGGGGAAGCCGGAAACGGATCATGAG